AATCACAAAATTGCATGGGTTAAATTTTTGTGTTCCCTCCTGTTAATTTTGTGTTCCCAGTACGTTCCCTCCTGTTAATTTATGGCGACATCTTGCGTCGTGTAACCGAGGTGTAGATAAAAAATTATTTTGAATTTTTCATTTCAAATCAATCAATATTTCAAAATGACGAAAAATTGTCAGCCGATTAGGTTTGTTTTTATTATAAAAAAATTAGAAGAAATGAAATTAAGAATATGTGATTAATTTTATAAACAGACTTTATTCTAAAGGCCGTATTCTTGGTTTTAAACGAGCAAAAAGAAATCAATCACCAAATATTACATTAATTAAAATTGAAGGAGTAACTACGAAAGAAGAGACACAATTCTATCTTGGGAAACGTGTTGCTTTTGTGTATCGTGCCAAGCGTGAGGTAGATTAAAAATGATTTAGCATTGAATGTTTGGGTGCATTTTTTACGACTTGAAAATTAATAAGATTTAATCTTTAATGAAAAACCAAACAAAGAAAAATGGTAGCAAGATTCGTGTAATTTGGGGTCGTGTGTCAAGGTAACTTTTCATGTTTATTAGTGAAAATAATTTTATTAGATAGGAATTTTATTTTTTAATCACGCACAAATAGACCTCATGGTAATGGTGGAGTAGTAAAAGTCAAGTTTAGAACTAACCTTCCTGCAAAAACTTTTGGTGCTAGTGTAAGAGTTGTGAGTATATTTGATATCATGTGTTTATTTGATCAATATCTTGAACTTAACAAAAAAAAAATTCTTTTTTTTTTAATAAATAAAAGATGCTGTATCCTTCACGTGTTTAATTAAGAAAACTTTGCCAATTAGGGATATGTAAAATAATATGATAAAATCTTATTAATTTGTAAGAAATAAAAAAAATTTATAATGATAAAAATAATAAATATATAAAAATAATTATAATTAGAAAAATTAGAAAATAATGACTTCTAATCCTTTTCTGTATTGTAAAGCTACTCTTGCTGAACTTTTTCAATTTCAACTTGTTTTTGTAAATATTGACCAAATCATCAGTAAAAGGAAAACCTTTAAACAAAAAATTTTTAATTAATACCAAATGTTGATGTATCACTTTTGAAACTAATTAATTATCAGAAATATCTTTAGTTATTTCTTGGCAGTATTAATTATACCTTAATGGTTTCTCAAATATAAATAAT